ACAGTAGAGACACAGCAGAGACACAGTAGAGACACAGCTGAGACACAATAGAGACACAGCAGAGACACAGAAGAGACACAGTAGAGACATAGCAGAGACACAGCAGAGACATAGCTGAGACACAGTAGAGACACAGTAGAGACACATGTGAGACACAGTAGAGACATAGCAGAGACACAGCAGAGACACACCTGAGACACAGCAGAGACAAACCTGAGACACACCTGTGACACAGCAGAGTCACAGTAGAGACACAGTAGAGACACAGCAGAGTCACAGCTTCAAAGTTTTTTACATTACAGAGCAGCACGTCTCTTATGTTACCAGCAGCATGTCTGTTACGTTACTAAGCAGCACATCTGTTACGTGACCAACAGCATGTCTGTGACGTTACTGAGCAGCATGTCTGTTATGTTATCTAGCAGATGTTATGTTTGCAGCTAGCTAATGTAGGTAATGCTAGCAGATGTTACCTTGCAGATTGTTATGTTACCAAGCAGCACATCTCTTACGTTACCCAGCAGCACGTCTGTTACATTACCGAGCAGCATGTGTATTACATTAGTGAGCAGCATGTGTGTTATGTTAATGGCTTTGGTATCAAGAAAGTTGTATCCTTTCACGTTGTGTCTGAACACAGTCGGGGAACTGCCGAGGTTTTTATCATGATCAAATCTAAACTGAATCAAATCAGGAACAAACAGAGAGAAACTGTCAGTATGTTTATTTGACCGACTCATCATGATGTCTTTATAATCACACATGTTAACACAGGAACATCTTCACCTCTCCTCTGACTTTCCTTCAGTTTTCTTTTCTGGTGTGTGTATTGAGAGCTGCTGTGGAGCGGTGCATGTGTTAACAGATGAAATCCAAATAAAGAGAAATGAGCTAATAAATAAACCAGAGTACCTCCTGTCTGAGTGAATGAACCCTGTCGATCTGCCTGTTGTAGGGGAAAGGGGAAAGGGTCGTTGCCATGGTGCTGAAGGAGCTTCCTGGTAAAAAGGCATCCTCAGAAGGAAACCCCCTCCTCACCGTGACAACCAAGGTTGGCATGACGACCACGCTTGTTTGTTATCTCGCACTGCTCAGAGATTACTTTCTGTTCATATTTGATTTTAGTTTTTCTTGTTTGCTTCAAACCTGCAGCTCCATGTTTGGTTTCATTACAAGTCAAACTGTAAAACTTTATTCAGGTGACTCAGTTTGTACAGCGTTAAAGAACACTTTAAAAGATGAACTCCTTAAAGTGCAGTTCAAACAGCTACTGTCAGACCTGCGTGTTGACAGGAAGTGACCACCATGAGACGGCGTATCATCTCTAGTCAACGACTCTCCGTGCTTCTGATCTGTGACGTCGACAGGAAGTGACCACCATGAGACGGTGTATCATCACTAGCTGACCAGCTGAGTGTCAGGTGACACCATCAGCCGGCTTGAGTCCAGCTCAGACTGGCCGGTTCACACTGCTGACACTTTTCTCTGTGACGTTCTCAAAACATTTTCATCTGGTCATGAATCTTCGGTCTGAACTGGACTTTAGAGACGCCCAAAGGAAATAAAAATCTGGTCTTGAACCCATTTGTACTCGGAGTCAGACAGAAGCAGTGGTTGTTGCGGTTGTTCGGGCTGTGGCGATACGATACGATCATGATTAAGAGTTATGACTTAATACATTGAGATTTTTAAATCTAATTTTAGGAAAACTGTCAGTATAAAAAACAAACCCACGTCATGTTTTTAATACAGTGAGAACAGTTGGATCTGTGTAAGTATTTATCACAGCCTCACAAGTTCTCACTCCCAACTCGTCATATCCTGCCGCTTCATCAGCGATGCCTGCGTCACACACTGATGCACAGGGGCACCCTTTGTGGGGTTTGACACCCACTGCGCCACAGCTATTTCTGACGCCTTTGACAACTACCGTAACATAAAGAGTGAGACAGTCTGTATCGGGCGAGCGGGAGCGGAGGTGGATGGATCCAACCAACGTCTTTGTTTCCTGTGAAACCAACAGTCGGTACTTATCCTAAACCAAACCGTGATGTTATTTTCTAAACCAATCTGAAGGAAATAAACCAGCTTGTCTTCAGAATTTGGGACGAATCACGTCCGACCAAAAAAAACAACAAAAAAAACACAGCCTTGAAACTGAAATAACTTATCAGCCTCATCTGTTTCAGGGGAGAAATATTTTCATCAGGTTTGTATGTAAAAATTAAAAATTATTTCAGCCGATACCGGTGTTTTATTTGTTGTTAATCTTATTTGGTTTTGTTGTTATTTTTCCTCCGTCAGAGACACAGAATCTACCTGACTCAGCACAAATTCAATGAGACACATGTATCAAAGAACCTTTAAGAGAATCGGTGTTTTTTAATAAATGTCTTTTTACTATTTCACACATTTCTCCTTCAAACAGCTGAAGGTAGTTTCTCTCCGCAAACAACATTTTACAAGATTACATTGAACACATCATGAGAACGTTAGAATTTATCTTCACCCAGCACTCATTTCTACTGAGTAGAGCATGAATACATCACAATGGAACTTGATATAACCTCCTTCAGCTGTTAGTTCTGATCCCCAGCTGCCAACAGCTAATATTAGCTAGCTGCTAACTGCTAATGTTAACTACCTGCTAACAGGTAGCATTAACTAGCTGCTAACTCCTAATGTTAACTACCTGCCAACAGCTAATATTAACTAGCTGCTAATGCCTAATAGTAACTACCTGCCAACAGCTAATATTAACTAGCTGCTAACTCCTAATGTTAACAAACTGCAAACCTGTGTTTTCTGCCCATCCAACTGGAGTCAGCTGCAGTTACATGTCTGTCTGTGTGTCTGTCTGTGGTGCTGCTGTCACAGGATTAAATACAAACATATTCCAGTTGACATGTGGACGTACATGGCTGTGTGGATTAGGATTAGAAGGCCACACACACACACACACACACACACACACAGATCAGATGAGATCAGACCAAACCACTGAATTAAAGTTGTACTGTTGTCCTGCGTTTCCCAGAATGCCTTTCATCAACCTCAGCAGAGCTGATGGCCGTGTATTGCTTTAATGTGTCATAACAAAGTCACAGTCTGTCTGATCTGTGGACACCACTCAGACACTTATGAGGCGCCTCATGCGTCTCCCTCGCTACGTGATGGAGGTGGCCTGGCTGACCGCCCCAAACCCAGGCCCACAGGAGAAGCTGCATTTGGGCAACATGTTTTCAGCTGCAGGTCAAAGCAACATGTGAGATGTCAAACCAAACGGTTTTATCAAAACAGACTGTGATCGAAATAAAATACAGAGACAGAGATTTTGTGGTGAAGGTTTCTGTGGAGTGCTGTAAAGTTTAGTTAAATCAAAACACACATTAAACATGGATTAATAGAGACAGTTGTCTTTATCTGGACACATTTTCCCCACAAATACAACATGCTAATTAGCCTAGCAGCTAGCAGAGATTTCCTCTGCTCATATGAAGCCAGGATAAATCACACACAAGACTTAAAATGCTATTTTAGTGGAGGCTTTATTGTCTTCACAATTTATTGTTTCTTATCTGTGAAATTAAAGTAAATCAAAGCTTTGTTTCCACTGAGGGAAATGGTTTCAGCTCACAGAGACAGACAGGAGGTCTGCGTCACTGTGACACTGTGGAGTTACATTTCTGGGGAGGTGCACGTCAGGCTGTGGCTCTAAAAAGTGTTGCAGGAGAACTTGTGAGTGAGTGAGGGGGCGGAGCTGTGTGGAGAGTGTGACAGAGGAGAGATGAACACTGGTATGTGTCATGTAATGCAACTTGGCCCGATATCGATACTAACGGTGTTTATTTAATTTATATCTTGCTTGAAAAATATTTTGATATATTGTACATGGTCGTTATATCGCCCAGCCCTACTGTCGAGTTCCTCAGATTGAAATCAAAGCAATCACAAAGAAAAAAATCAGTTAATAAATAATAATAAACTCTGTGAAGGATCAGATCAGGTTCTAAAAACACATTTCTTCTCACTGTGTGACAGGTTTGTCCGAGTGTTCGCAGTCCTTCCTGCTGACTGCTCTGATGAACCGAAGAGTAAACAGGAAATTAACAAGTCCAAACTTAATGTCCTGTCATTTAGTGTCTGTGTGTTTGACTTCATCAGACAGCTGAATTCCCAAGCTGAATTATTTGTGCTCATACTGGTCATTGATAAATAAGTTTTAAAATGGATCAGTGACACAGCCTGATTAAACTAAACTTCCTGCTGAGCTCCACTGAATACACGTGAGGAACATCAGTGTAAACGTCTCGTCTGAAGAGATGACACAGCGTGGCTTTGACAGACAGACACATAGACAGACAGACACACAGACACACAGACAGACAGTGCAGTGCTCTGGGCTTCAGGCTGTTTCTGGTCCTCTGATGAATCAAACATTTAAAGAGACGTGACGGCAGCAGTGTTGAATGGATTTTAAAATTACATTTGAGTCGTCTGCTGCTGTCTGACAGAGTCTCCACACAGACAGAGAATCATCCTTCAAGCTTTAAAGACAAATGAATTTCATCATGTTTGTGACTCGGTTAGAAACATTTTTATTTTATTTGTACCTGTTATCACATTTTATAGTGTGATGTGTTCACGTTCCTCACCAACATTCATTTGTTCTCACTGTGTCTGCAGACCTGACAGCAGAATTCACTCTCTATGGAAGATTCATGATTTAGTGTTTTACAGCATTCAAGTAGATTCAAGTGAGTGAACAGCCATAAGAGTGCAGTAAAAAAAAAAGAACTCAGTTGAGTGCAGTAACTTTTGGAACTTTTATGTTTTAGATTGTTGAAGTAGATTTGAGTGAGTGAATAGCTAAACTAGCGCAGTAAAGAAACACAGCTGATGGCAGTAAAGAAACAGTTGATTGTGGTAAAGAAACACAGCTGACTGTGGTAAAGAAACAGCTGATTGTGGTTAAGAAACACAGCTGATTGTAGTTAAGAAACACAGCTGACTGTGGTAAAGAAACAACTGATTGTGTTAAAGAAACACAGCTGACTGGTAAAGAAACACAGCTGACTGGTAAAGAAACACAGCTGATTGTAGTAAAGAAACAGTTGATTGTGGTAAAGTAAAGAAACAGCTGATGAGCAGAAATGCTTTAAAACATTGAATCAAGAGACAAAGGGTGAACTCTTCACACGTGTGTAACAATATTACTGTTTTTTAATATTAAACTTTATTATCAAACTATATTCAGCTGACTGGTGTTGATCTGGTGTTTCTGGTCCCCAGCTGGTCCGAGAGCAGCAGGAGAGTCGACCCCTGCTGAGTCCCTCCATTGATGACTTCCTGTCGGAGAGCCGGAGCGACGCCCCATCCACCCAGCCCCTCACCTCCAACACAGCTGGTACAGTCCCTCTAATAACCCCCCCCCACCCACACACACACACACACAGCCCAGCAGGGCTCCTCTTCAGCCTTCAACCTGCTCAGCTCTGTGTTTACATCCACCCTCCTCTTCCTGCTGCACCCTCTACCTCTGTCTTTGTCATCCTCTCTCTCCAGCTTTACTTTTTGTTTTTCCTCTGACTCCCCTCTTCGTCCTCCCTCCTCCCGTCCTCCTCCCGTCCTCCTCTAACCTCCCCCTCTGTTTCTCTGTTTTCTCCCAAATCTCTCTTCCTGTCCTCCTCTAACTTGGTGTCCTTGGCTGTCCTCCTTCCTCCTCTGTGCCCATCTGTCACCTCCGCCTCAGCAGGTACACCTCCCATTAATTAACACCTCTGACCTGCTCCATCCTCCTCCTCCTCCTCCTCCTCCTCCTCACATTCATTATGAGCCTCAAACAGTCTCTCTGCTCTCTGTGTTTCTGTAGTTTCATACAGTCTGACGCTGAGAGACTTTCATCAGAAGTTCATCTGTTCACCTGCAGATCAAACTGTCTGATCGTGTCTCACAGTTTGATGATGGTGACATTTAAAGGTCGCGGTGAGCTCGGTTCACATGAGGAGAGCACAGAATACGTTATTGTTACTCAGAATGAACCTGAAATTTAGTATTCAGAGGATTTATTGATCACAGAGCTCAAAGACAGATTCACTCCTGACGGCAGGTTTATCATGCAGTCAACCAAAATATCTGCAGCAACGTCAGAGTCCAGTTAGATCAGACGAAACACACACACACACACACACACACACACACAACAGGAACAATGGAGAGACAAACAGGAAACAGTTTTACATGTGGTGTCCACAGACAGTTGCTCTCTCCTGATCCTTCCTCACTGACTCTTCTCTAGTTTGGTCTTCTGCTAGTGTCCTTGACACTACTGGTAGCATGAGGCCGCACCTGCAGCCCAGTCAGGTTGATACCAGATACCAGGAGACCGGCCGTTACACCAGGAGAGCTGCACAGGGCCGTAGAAGGGCATCAACCCAGCAGCAGGACCGCTATCTGCTCCTTTGTGTGAGGAGGAACAGGAGGAGCACTGCCAGAGCCCTACAACATGACCTCCAGCAGGCTACTGGTGTGCATGTTTCTGACCACACTGTCAGAAACAGACTCCATGAGGGTGGCATGAGGGCCCCACGTCCTCTAGTGGGACCTGTGCTCACAGTCCAGCACCGTGCAGCTCCATCATTCACCAGAGAACACCAGAACTGAAGGGGCCACCATCAGCGCCCCGTTCTCTTCACAGATGAGAGCAGGTTCACACTGAGCACATGTGACAGGCGTGAAAGAGTCTGGAGACGCCGTGGTAAATGTTAGTCTGCCTGTGACATCATCCATCGTTTAAGATATTCAACTTGAATAATTTGTTCATCAAGATCTGCTGTATGATTGGAAGTCAATCAATCAATCAATCAATCAATCAGACAATTTTATTTATAAAACCCAATATCACAAATCATAATTTGCCTCACAGGGCTTTAATTGTTTTGAGCAGCGTACACATACATATATAAACCAGGTTTTCATGTAGTTTGAAGCCCCTCTGCGTAGAGCAGTAGAGCTGGTTTGAAAAAAATCGATTTAATCGATTCGAATCGATTTTCCTTTAAATGGCACAATATCGATTCATTAATTAAAAAATTGATGTTTTACCATGACTATTTGTTTTCCTCCGTGGACGTGTTGTACAGCCGGTAGCAGCCTGCAGCAGCAGCAGTACTATCAACCCAGGTAGTCTCGCGAGATCAGCATTTAGCACCTGAGGTCATGGCGAGAGATCTCGCGAGACTACCTGGATACTGAATGAAGACAGAGCAGCAAACAACGGTGGGAGCGTGTCCACTGAAGGCATGGGTCTATGGTGCATTTTTCTTACTCGCATTTTCCCCTAAAAATATAACGCTATTAATGTACGCATGTTTATTAAATGCACATTAGTTTCACAGAAAAGATTAACCACTAAGCATCAGCACACTGCTACCTGTAGCCTCAGTTTGTGCCTCATACACATCTGCTGGTAAATTTAACTTAGCGTTAGCAAGCGTGATAAAGACGGCAGAGAGGCGACGTTGTGCAAATAAATCAAAGATTTATTAATTCTCTGTAGCAGTAAACACATGGGCCGATAACAAATGTGTTAACTAACTATGCTAAAGCTTTACAAGCTATTCAGGGCTGCCGACGATAACGTTAACATGACAAACAGCAAGGCTAACGTTACGGCTAACAAGCTAACGTACTGACGCTACTCAGACACTCAGACACACACACACACACACACACACACACACACACACACACCGGACAGCCTCTCAGTCCTTAGCCGCTAACGTTAGCTCATGTACAACACAGGTACCACACAGAAACTTTTACAAAGGGTCATAATGTGCTTCTAGTGACTGTCAAATCGCCAGTGAAAGATGTTCACACTGCGGACATGGAGATTTTGTATCATAATTGAAATATACTTGACTGAATCGACATTAAACTGAATTAAATCGAATCGAATCGAATCGATCTGGAAAATCTGAATCGATACCCAGCCCTAATTTAAACTGTGTGCGCACAGGTGTGCACAGGTGTACTGTGGGATGGTCACAATAAAATGTGATGTTTTTATGAGAACAGTCTTTTGCAGCCTCGTGTCAGTGACCAAACTCCAGCTGATATTCAGAACAGCAGCGCTACCTGTCGTTGGATGTTGTTTCATTAACTCTTCGTCCTGTTGTCCTGCAGTTCTGTCCACAGCTCTGGACCTGGTGGACCTCAGTGAGCCGGGGGAGAGCAGCGGGGGCGGCAGCGGGAGCAGCAGCGGGGGCGGCAGCGGGAGCAGCAGCGGGGGCGGCAGCGGGAGCAGCAGCGGGAGCGGCAGCGGGGGCGGCAGCGGGAGCAGCAGCGGGGGCAGCAGCGGTGGTAGTAACGGAGGTAGTAACGGTGGAAGTAGTGGCAGCTGCAGTAACAAGGACCAGAGGAGGAGTCCTCTGAGGAGGAAGGGCAGCTTGAGGAGTCCTCGGCGCCGGACAAGACCTGATGAGACAGAGCTGATCCAGGTGGAAGTGGAACACCTGCCAGCCAGTCCCAGAACACCTGAGAGGATCTCGCTGGACTCAGGTACTGCAGACTTAGTGCCCGTACACATGCCGCGTTTTTTTCACCCTTAAATTCATTGTTTTCATTGTAGCGCACTCAAACACCAGATTGACGCCATCCTGACACGCACACGTTCCCAACACCTATTTTTCAGGGCACCACGGCTGAACCCTGAGATAAACCGATTTTGACTTTTGGAACGCAGCAGTGCGCGCCGCATGTCATGTGACGAGGACCAACCAATCACAACTGACAGATATCTTTCCTTCTTCAGTAAATATCAGCGTGTGATAAATATGGAGGAGAAGTCGATCATGTAAGTGCAGAGCTGTCAGAGCGTCACATCTGTCCTGCAGACAAACAGGAAGTAGATCAGCTCTGCTGTAAACAGGCTATATGATGCTTGTTATGATCACTTAGCAACCTCAGACGCAACCTGCCGCCGCACTCTTGAAAGTTAAAAGGTACATAAGTAGTGCCCAGCGCCTGACCTCATGTCTTCCAGGCGGTAAATGACACAGCATGTGTACGGCCTCTAGTACTGCTACTGCACTTTATTCATGTACAACAGAGACCTGCAGGGATTCCTTTTTTGTTGTATATTTATTTTTATTACAGTTACTGATCTGCGGTGCTTCTTAATGAGACAGCAGGTTGGAGAACATCAGCAGGATTGTTTTTCTGAGCCGATCAAACTTATCAGAAGTTTTCAAACGCTGTCAGAATGTTAAGATAAATGATTGTTATTACTATGTACAGCATATAAGAAATGATATTTTGGAAAATGTCTTTATTTAACACCAGTGCAGTGAGCAGTTAACCAGTTAACAAACCAAATTAGAAATATAAAGGACCAGTAACCGAACCCTGAGGAACTCCACAACTGATTACTGACACTGTCAGTGGGCTGATCATGATGCTCTGCGTCTGCTGGATGTAGGCAGCTGTTTGCTAACACGTTAGCATCAACTACTTTATGAGATGATAATATGTCAGAGTGCACAACAGTCTGTAAAAATACAGACTGTTGTGTTGCCCCCAAGATTTAATTAGATATGATACGATTATTTTAAATAATACCAGCCTCTAAGGTACGTGATGGTGAGACAGGGCTGATGAAATATAGAGTTGACTTCTAGTTGGAAAAGCTGTTGGAAGAGTTGTGGCTCACTGCTGCTGCTGTGAGTTTTATGACAGAGTGGATCTATAAGTAACGTGTGGTATTGAAGTGAAATGTCTAATTTTATCAGATTTCTACGACGTGACTTCAGTTCATCACCTCACCATCCGTCTCCATCTGCCTGACGCACGGGTCACAGTTTCCGTGAATGTTTTTATGCTCCTGCGTCATCGATGGCTGTGGCCAGAGTTGTATTATGTTTTCAAGCTGTCCGTATGTCCATCCTCTTCTTGTTAACACATTGTCTTAAAAAAGCCTTGAGGGAATTTCTACAAATTTGGCACAAACGTCCATTCAGACTCGACAATGAACTGATTAGAATTTATTGGTTGAAGGTCAAAGGTCACTGTGTCACATGTTTTTGGCCATAACTCTAGAATTCATACATTAATCATGACAAATTTTCACACAAATGTCCAAAGGGATAAAATGATAAATAATAAATTGTGTTTTTTTGTAAATCCATATTTCCTCTTATAAAGTGGCGTTTGCAGTTTTCAGGCTGTTTTTTGTGCGTTTGCAGTGTTTCTAAATGAGAGTGGAGCTGAGCTGCCGTCAGACTGAAACCAGCCGCAGTGTGTTTTTAGCTGCTTCTTCTCATGCTGCTGCTCATTTTGTTAAAAGCGTTTGAACTCAGTCAGTTGTGAATAAAAACCAGAGGAGGTCGACTTTAATCTGAGCTTTTAATGTGATGAGGATGGAACTTCCTGTCTCACCTCTGTGTCCTTTTGCTCTCAAACACCAGCTGAAGTCTCTCGTTGTCTGATAAATAAAAAGTTTCCAGGTTAAACTTCAGACTGGTTTTATTAGACAATGCAGATGAGAGTTAATCTGAACCTCTCAGTTCATGTTTGATTTCTGACGAGCTTTATCAACGGCTTTCTAATCAGTTCATCATCAAGTCAGAGTGGATGTTTGTCACAAATTTGGAAAAATTCCTCTGAGAGGTTCTTGAGATCTTGTGTTCACATGAATGGGATAAGCGGCCTGATAACAAACGGCCTCTGGCGATGTGTATTCGCCGATGCGAGATGTTTTGACGTTTCCTGTGAACCACATGAATCTTCACTCTCATGTTTTATTCGATGAATCAGATGCGTTTGTGTTTCAGTCTGGTGTCGTCGGGCCACAGCAGCTACAACACAAAGTTTCACATCAGCTGCAGCCATCTTGGTCATTTTCAAAAGTGCTTCAAGGACTCTCGTCTTTACGGTCTTTGTCTCAAACACGCCTCATGTTAGTTTGTTAGGCTGTGATTGGTCGGAGACGTCTAAGGCCTCAGGTCCAGGATCTGAGCGGACTCATCTGCCAAAGCAGATCAAGCCGGAGCTGCAGACTCTTCTGGTTCTCATGATTTCATCAAAAGCTTCACACAGACAGAACTCAGCTCAAACAAAGTGACATCAGTAACGTTCTGTCATCATGATGTGTTCACAGTCAGTCTGTCGTCTCCACTGGACAAATGGGACGAGGTGAACCTGGACGTGGAGGACGGAGGACACAGGAAGAGATACGAGAAGAGATGCACCTCCCACCACTCCTCCAGTGAACTGCTGTGGTAAATATAACCATAAATCATCAGAGCCGGAGAGACGTCTGTTCGCAGAGGGGCGGCTCTCTCTCGATCTGTCGTCGGAGCAGCAGCTGTAGGTCCATGATGTGTTTTGTGTTTGCATCTTTTTTTGGACTGAAGCTGCTGATTGATGATGTTTGACCACAGTAAATAAGATTCACAAGACGTACGCTCCTCAGTGTTTAACCTGCTCCTGAAGCCTGGCACCTCTCAGCCTTCACAGGTGCGTCAGTATAAGGCCTGCAAAGTCCTCCGGTGGGCCGAGTCCGGCCCACGACAGGGTCCCTCTGATCTGACGTCAGAGAGGACCAACCAACACTGAGCTGTGACTGAGCGTACTGACCCTTCAGAGGTTGTTCAGACTGTGACTGTAATTAGCTCTGCAGCCTGTAGGGGGCGCTAACGCAGCTTTAACACTAACCACAGGTTTGTTTTTTGTTCCTTCAGGTCTGCAGAGTTTAAAACTGATCCTCTAACCAAGAACTCCTTCGACATCCACAGCTTCGATGATCTCGACTTCATATCTTCAACACAGGTCAGCTGCTGCAGCAGTACTTCATCCAGACCAGAACACTTTGCTCCTCTGTTTCTACCTGAAACTAAAGACGACCTAAGAGACAAAAACAACCTGAACCAGACCCAGTGTGTAGTTCAGGGACTGTGGGATAATAGAACGTTCCCTGCAGTGTTTTTATGTCTCATTAAATATGACTTTAAAGCTCCTGAGTTTCTTAGTGTCTGTTTTTTTGTCTTAACTGTCACACTGACGGCTGCTGGCTGACCTGGGTGTGTGTGTGTGTGTGTGTGTGTGTGTGTGTGTGTGTGTGTGTGCGTGCGTGCGTGCGTGCGTGCGTGCGTGCGTGCGTGCGTGCGTGCGTGCGTGTGTGTGTTCAGGAAAGCGCAGCGTCCAGGCAGCGCAGACGGACTCGTTCCCTTCTGGCCAGAAACGAGTCTCTGGAGGACGAGTTTGTCAGAGCGAAGGCTGCTGTTGAGGTAAAAACACACACACACACACACACAGGATGTCCTCAGTGTCCATTTACAAGTTCTGACTTTCCACAAAAGTTTGAGAAGTGAGGAAACTTTTTTAAAAAATTCACTCTCCAGCTGAATCCACACTTTATAAAGTTATGATTTTACAAAAAAGTCCCCTGATGCGAGGACTAGAAGAGTCCATGTTTCCCAAAGTCCTCACTTTCCTTGTTTCCCGAAACGTCCTCCTTAGTCCCACATTTCCAACATGTCCTCACTTTCTAAAAAAGTTGTTGCTTCCCAAAAAGTCCTTACAAGTCCTTTGCTTTTTTTTTGCTTTCTAAACAAGTTCACCCATGTCAAATATGTCCTCACTTTACAGAAAAGTCCTCCTTAGTCTTAGTTTTACAAATGTCCTTGCTTTTCGAAAAAGTTCTTGTTACCAAAAAGTTTTCACTTTGCAAATATATTCTTGCGTTTTGCAGAAGTCCTCATTTTTCAAAAGAAGCCCTTGTTTGCCACAAAGTTCTCACTTTCCGAACATGTCCTGGCTTTTTATAAAAAATTCCTGATTCCCAAAAAGTCCCCACTAGTCCTTTTTTTCCAAAAAGCCTTTGCTTTACAGAAAAGTCCTCCTTAGTCCTAGTTTTCCCAACATGTCCTCACTCTTCAAAAAAATCCCCACTTTCCAAACGTGTCCTCGTTTTCCACAAAGTCGTAACTGTCCAACGAACTACTTGCCTTTACTCTTTCTATAAAACTCCCTATTTTCCCAGAGGTCCTGCTCAGTCCCAGTTTTCCAACCCTGTTGTCGCTTTCCAAAACAACTCATTGCTTGTCTCCACTTTCTGAAGAGTCTTTGCTTTCTAAAAACAGTCCTTGTTTTTTTTCTTTCTTGAAAAGTGGTATTTCCAGGATTAGTGTCGGGGTTCTTACGGGTCGGTTCTGTCCTCAGAAGTTGTGACTGTCATATTTTGTTGTGATCTGAACACAACGATAATCTTTGTCCTTTAAAAGTGCTCATCCAGCAGCTCTCAGTGTTGAATATCAGATATCAGCTGATGTTCAGAAACAGATATCGTCTCTGTACTTCCTGTCACCTGAGAACTCTGTGATTCAGCAAATGTTTAGCATAATGACACTGCGCTCAGATCAGCCTCCGTCAGGACCGACCAGCAGACTCAGGATCAGTTTTCATATTTGACACTGAAGATACAGAATAAACATCATCAGCTGATAAAAGTACTCATTCCGCAGAGTAATGTGATACTATTGTTTAATAACTACTGATGCATGTTGGTTCAGGTCAGTTTGAGTTGGTTCTGGTTGGTTTACGTGGGTTCAGATTGGTTCAGGTAGGCTCTGGTCAATTCAGGTCAGTTCCAGTCAGTTGGTTCAGGTTGGTTCCGGATGCTCCAGTTAGTTCTGGGTGGTCCCTGTTAGACAGTACAGGTTGGTTCAGGTTGGTTCAGGTCAGTTCAGGTGCGTTTTAGTTGGTTCAGGTCGGTGCAGGATAGTTCTGGTTGGTCCCTGTTGGTTCAGGTATGATGCCGGTGGTTTATATAAAGGTGTGATCCAGTCTGGCAGAGGTGAAGCAAACCAACAGCTCAGTGATTAAAGTGCAGATTAATCTGAGACTTGAAGCGTTCGTGCTCTTCAATCCCGTCAGCTCTGCTCAGTGAACCAATCACAGTGTCTCGTCTGACTAAAAGCTCCCTCTCATCACCACTGAGAGGTTATGAATTTAGCTGCAGGTGTTTTAATCCTCAGAGGTCACAGAGGTCACCATCAGCTGTGTGCCTTTTATCAGCTGCTCTGGTTTTTATTCTGCCATCAATTCACACGTCACAGTGAACTTCTAACCTCGGTGTCCACGGCAGGCCGCAGGGTCGAACATATCAACTGCAGCTCCCAGGGTGCATTTTACCAACAACCGGCCAATTACAGAGCTCCATGTTCTGTGTTTTTAATGTGAGCTGCTGCTGGTTGTGTTTCAGTCGGACACGGAGTTCTGGGATAAGATGCAGGCCGAGTGGGAGGAGCTGGCCCGGAGGAACTGGCTGGAGGACTCTGAGGGCCAGACGCCAATCCCGCCCAGCGTCTCACCTGTGGAGAAGGTATGTTCAACACCTGCACCACCAAACACCTCCACCACCAAACACCTGCTCCACCAAACACCTGCTCCAACAAACACCTGCTCCAACAAACACCTGCACCAACAAACACCTGCTCCAACAAACACCTGCACCAACAAACACCTGCTCCAACAAACACCTGCTCCAACAAACACCTGCTCCAACAAACACCTGCACCAACAAACACCTGC